GAAACCACCCCAGTAGATCTCCAGCTGTGCTTTACAGTTATCTGCATGCAGCTCTATTTCGTCTTTGCTGATTCGATTTATCCTTTTGAGTTTTGGGCCTTCCACGTGCTCTTTTGCCTCATGTTGATAACACAAGCACGTGTAAACAAAATATATATAAAATTTAAACCTAAAAACGTTATTCTTCCTTTAATTATTGTTATTAAAAAAAAAGTTATTAAAATTAAACTAAATTACAATATTACAAGGTCTTATGGTTCGTTTTCTTCTCCTGAGGCAACCGAATTCGGATTCCAAAATTTTTGGTGGTGGCACACTAGTATGTAAAATTCCTAAGCATTTCATAGAAATCGGATCAATGATAGTAGATATTGATATCAAACCATTTATACACTATTCCTTAAATTTCCTCCAATATTCATCCAAATCGAATAAGCCGTTTTTGAAATACAATAATCAAAATGCGTTTACTTATCCACTCACAGTAGAAAATGGTACATCCGTCACATGAATTTAACTGCAGTAAAGGAACATTATATGTTTGTTGTAAATATATAACGCGAGTGAAAATTATCGATTCTACGCACAATACATTTTTTAACCTCCCGCACAACTACAAAGCTTCCTTACATTCGGTCGCGTGAAAGTAAAACTTGTGATATCTCTGGATAGAATCATTATCTATTTGTTCTTATGTTTGCATTTTAAGTTTCTTCTAATTGTTTTCCTGTCTTGTCAATACAAAGTATCGAAGATTTAAGCATATTCATAATTTGTTTTTATATTTTCAGAGGATTGTACTTTCGTATTCGAAGGGCCAGAGGGCGCCAAATTGGACATGGAAATACGCAGCATATCGTTCCCCAAAATGTTCACGGAAGCGGAAAATTGTAGGAAAAGCAAACTGACCATTTACAACTACATCAACAGCAAAGTCATACTGGGAAAACTGTAAGTATTTACGAGAAAATATTTGTTATTTGATCATTGGGATTTGTTAAAGATTGCTGTTTTTGTATTTTAGCTTCATCTCAAGATTAAATTATTGCTTCCTAATCCCTCAGGAGAGCTAATATTCGTACAGAAGGTTGAAAAAATTATTGAGCCGAGAATCGAGAATTTCTGCTTGCGTTTTGACAGCAATTCATTTTGACGGGCAATTCAACTACTATCATTAAAACGATTTTGATGCAATTTTTTAAGTGCGGGTTGTTCCTCTACTTCCGCTTCCAGATACGCATATGTATCATGATACTACTGTATGTCAAAAATACTTCGTTCATTATACTCAAAGTTGAGCTGTTACTGTATTTCGAAAACGGCTTATCCCGAATATTTTATTATCAAACAAAAAATTACAGACCTTGAAATACAGGTAATTGTGAAACCAAGCAATACTAACCTTACTTAGAGGTTTTTCATTTAGGCGCAGTTGTTATGCGTATTACCTATATCTTTTGATTATTATGCTCATAACGTTGATTCCATCGATTGTTTTTGTTTTTCTTCATTTATTAAGGTTACAAGAAAACTTTAACAATGTTTCTTAATTCAGTGTTAACTAATACCGGAATAAAAGCTATAATTATGACCTTTATCAAAAAACTTTCCTAGTCAAAAAACATTAAAATTGTGACGTTACACGAAGTAAAAGAATTTTCACGAAAAAAATTAACGAGGATAGGGTACCACAAATTAACGTTAGTCATAGTTTTGAAAAAAAAAGGCACTATGGACTGAAAGAAAGAAACTGAGAGGAGAAAAAAAAAAAAAAACAACAACGAACAATTCGACCGCTTAATGCTGCGATTATTTTTTTAGAATATCGTTTTATAACTGGCAAAGAAATATCCGGAGATCTTTCAATAGCAATCTGGTAAATAAAATAGAATTTAATAAAGATTTTTTACTTATCCCTGTTGAACAAATTCGAAACCTTAGACTCCACTTAGACAAACGTCTAACTTGGAATCCTCATACCAGACTGAAACGACAAGAAACAGCTCGACGTTTCCGACTACTCCAGCACTTACTAGACAAACGATCTAAGCTCTCAGTCAATTACAAAAGACTCATATACATGACTACAAAAAGATCTATTTGGACTTACGGAATTGAGCTCTGGGGCTCCACTAAGCTATCGAATTTCTGTCGTATTCAATCCTTACAATCCAAAATCTTTCGTAAAATCCTCACAGATCCTTACTTTGTCACAAACAAAATCATCCATAACGACCTTAATGTACCTTATGTTTCTGACCTGGCCCAATCCAGATACCTATCCTTCCATAACAAACTTCAGAACCATCCTAACCCTCTCGTTTCTATCCTTCTCGATCCCTGACAACCTTCCGAGGCGTCTGAAAAGAAGATGGCCTCGAGATCTCCTTTTGTAAATACATTTTTAGAGAGCTACCAGTGGGTAGTTTCTCAATAAGTGATTTCATGTTATTATATTCTTTTGTTCACATTTACTGAATGTATTTTTACTTGTAATATCATCAATAAAAAAAAAAAAAATTAATATTTTTACTGGGTGATGCAATTTCTGTGACCGCGACTGTAATAAAAACACAATGTTGCTTTTTTGTTAATTAAATATTTGTTTTTGTCTATAAAATGTTTAATCCTTTTCTAAGGGTAACCAAAAAAACTACTTCTGTTTTCATATTAATGTTAATTTACATGATTCTAGAGTTTGTAATGAGAACGAGAAGGCAAGTTTGCTCACGAAGTCAAACATGGGCATCGTCACTTCGAGCCTGACAGACGGTTCCTTCAGCATCAAGATACGACCGAAGCCGGAAGAGCCCGATCCAGAGAAGATTGTCGCTGTGATGAAGCCTCCTAACCCAGCGGCCGAGGACTTCTTCCTCTTGGAGAGGGACAGCACCCCGACGAACGGAGGATTCACACCCATCGCAAGCGGTTTTAGACCTAGCCTCCCGCTCCACGAGAAAGCCAAACCTTTCGGAAGCCAGGTGTACCATCCCAACCACCCGGGCTTCTATCCTGGACGTCCGTCCGAGATCGTCGACATCACCTACAACGCCACTGGTCATAACTTCACAATCATAACTCACAAACCAACGAAACCTGAACAGCCCACCCCTACTCAGCCCGAACTTCCCCCGACTACCAAACCAGCCGAGAACTCAACCCAGCCCAGTTCACAATCTGCTCAACCAAGTACTCCAGGGAAGCCGACAACCGTGGTCACACAAACAACTGTCGCAGCACAAGCTGGGACCTCGACAGAGCCTCTCGAAGAAGAATAATACTTTTAGGATTAAAAAAATATAGTTTTAAATCTATTTTGTACAACAAACATATTTATAATAAAACACTTGAAAGATTTAATTCTAGCTTTGATTACATAAATAACGAAGTATTGTGAAAATTAGATTCTAATTAGTGGATCATGACAAGTGTATTTTTGTTTTCAAATTTATTTATTGAGTAATATAATATTTTGTCACTTGGGGAATAATTACAGAGAGGTATTTGTAGGTTTTTATTGCATTTTTATAATTAAGTAAGAATTCTATTTTTATGTTTTTTAATTGTTTAATGGAGGAATGGAAACGTTTCGGTAATCCAATATTTTCAGTTTTCTTAGACCTTTGCCGTTGCTATCAGATTCTGTAAGTTAATTAAAAGGAGTAATTATAATAATTATAATTTAAATTTTTTCCAAGAGTAAAAGTAATATGTAATATGTTGTGATTTGTGATGGCCCTTGTAATATGTTGTGATTTGTGATGGCCCGGCAGCTATGGAATTTCGAGTTGAAAAATATGCCAATATTTAGTACCGATTTGTATAACAAAAATTACAATTTCATGTTCAAATGATATACGGAATATTAATATCAGGTAGATATCATCTCCAATGATGTCGCTTAACTGGGCTAAAATGAAAAATGCTTAATATTTCTTCATCTAAAGCACTTTTAATTTGGTTTATTTTGAATAATTAACAATCCCTCATTTTTAGCAGGATTAAAGAAAGATTGAATATAAACCTTTATTTAAGAATTTGATACTTAACTAAAGGAGAAAAAATAATTGTTTAGGTAGAAAATGGATTTCGGGAAATAATAGTCAGATGGTATACGTTCAAAATATCATCAGTGATAAATATACAGGACATAGTCATTATAAAGTTTTTATTAGTGCCGACCTTTCAACCCAAACATGTGGGTCATCATCGTTCGTTGAGTCGAATTTTCCACAGTTCGCACCAGTCATGAAATTTAATATATATACACACATTATATATAAATATAAATAGGTTGTTGGAATTCCCAATAGGTGTGAGTTTAAAAAAAAAATGTATAGGTCTTAATTGTTTAGGTAAAATCTTCACATGTTTTTCAGATTTAAAAAATAAAAAATACAAAGGGTATTAATTCTCTGCATTTTTTAAAAAAGAGAAATGGTGTGGTAACATTAAAATAAATCCATCTCAACCACAAGACTAAATCTTCTAATGTAAATTTAGATTACGTAATGAGTGTTAATACCCCCAACATGGAGAATGCGAAATTTTCCATGCTATGAAATGATAAAATCTGTATCGGTTAATTTACGTTGAGTGTAAGGTATGTAAATAGGCTTGTTCCAAAGATTTGGTGAGAAAAGTCGTAACGAACATTACTTACTGTTCTGACAATACTGCTCATTTAGTATGACGATAATACCAGTCGTTAGTCTATGGGTAATCTTGATATATAAAGAAGCTGGCTTGACACCATAGTTTTATCACCATTGTATGTCAGAAAAACTATACATTATAATTAATTTACGTTACATGGCTCAATTCTGAACGATAATTGCGAAATAAGTAGGTTAGAGACATTTATTTAGGGTTACCACCTTAATAATTTGAACTTAGCAATACGGGCTTGTTTATAATATAATTAGTTATTAAAAGTTGAAAAGATAGTTAAAATCGGAATAAATTTAAAAGTAAATGCACTGGAGAGATACCATTGTCAGCGCCACCATCTTGATATAAACAGCGCCAGCGGAGTTGAGGGGTCTCAGTGTATTCGCTGATCTTGTCAGAGAAGTCTTGCGTCTTTGATTGTTTAAGACTATCCGATTTCCCTTATTCTGTAAGTATCAATATATACATATATATATTCATTTAAATAATATAGGTACATATAGAGATATTAAGGAATCAATCGTACTAGTCTTTATTAAATGCTTAAATGCTTTATTGAAGTCAATTATATGCAGTATATTTTAGTTAAACTGTAACTTTTTAATTTTTAAGGAGTTGAATATGTCTAATCTTCGTTATAAACCTCGATACAACTCAAAATTTTTATTTATTTTTTCAAGTTTAATTATTTATGATATTTGCAACAGAATTAACTGTATTTAAAAAAAAAAAAATGGAAAATTGTTTATTATGAAATTAGGCCGAGCCCAATTTGGCCTTCCTTCTAAAGGGACGAAACTTAAACTGCTGGATAAAATTAATACATCACTTCATTAATTAAAATTTTATGCACGGTTTTATAGTTAAACTGTATTTTTTTTAATATTGTAAGGAGTTGTATATGTCGATTTTTTGTTCTAAATATCGGTACAACAAAAATAAAAAAAAAATCTGTTGCTTATTATAACAAAACAGTGACAGCTTTCTACTAGAGGGACAACATTTAAGTATTTATACATACTTAAATAGCTGTTCAAAATTAATACATTACTTTATTTAACAATCATCCTAGATTACAGTTAAAACAGAGGGAAAACAATCGTAAATCGGTCCCAAAAAAAAAAAAAAAAACGGAAAAAACAAACAAAAAAAGTGGAATTTGTCCGTTGACGAATCCCCAGGAATGTCCTGAGGGGGAGGGAGAGGTGGCGCACTTCCGAAACAGGTGCTTTATATATATATATATAAAGAAGTGTGTATTTTAGTTTGTGTTCCTCCCCTGGATCCTCAAGTAAACTTGTCAGACTAGTTCATTAACCTCTGCGTAAAATAATTAGTAAAACTTTGTGATGGTTCCTACCTCGGGTTTGACGGAGGAGAAAAATAATAGAAAACTAATTTTTAAATTTTATTTATTAGAATATTTATTTATAACAATGGTGGGCTCCTGAACGTCTTACGGACCATTTTAGCAATTACACAATATTCATATTACATCAGATGCAATTTAACAATAAATTGAAAGCACGAAATATTTAAAACATTAAAATTTCAATGGTAGCAAAATTTAAATTTTTTTGTATAGGAGCGTTATTTGAAGAAATGCAAACATTTTTTTTTGCCCATGGTGGTGTTTTTCAAAATTTCAGTTATATCATTCTCCAATTCAACCACAAAAATTGAATCTTACATCTTACACTTTCCAATGTTTTTATATGCCTAACTGTGTCTGTGATTAATGAATTAGTTGAAAATGAATTTTTGATTGCTTTAAGAGCAGATTGCATTATATTTGCATCTGTACAAATATAAATTTGTTGTTTATTGCAGTTGAGACTACAAACGGCACGATTTATTTCAAACAGTTCTGCATGGTAGGAAGTGCAATAATATAATTAGAATATATAATAAACTATGAAATTTATCACAAATATTCTATACAGAATTTAAGTTCTGTGTAATATCTATAAAAATGATTCTACACATTTTATTTTTCTAACATCAATGGTTAAGGATATATTAAGGGATGAAATTTTCAAAATTTTCATTTATACCAAAAATTTCTTCAAACTATGCAACAACCATTATTTGTGGTAGATGATAGAGGCGAATTTAAATTTGTTTCTCTAACATTTTTAATCGGTTTAAGAACCAAATTATAATCAAAAGTTTATTTATTTAGGCGGTTCTAAAAATCAATAATCAATTAGGAAATTTGTTTATCCATAAGGGAAAGGAGCACGAATATATAGGTTTAAGATCTAATGTTAAAAATAACCCTTATCAATTAAAAATAAACGTTAAAATTGTATTCAAGCCTTGATAAAACCTAATAAGTAACTGACCATTTGAACTTCACATGTTATTTTTATTTTGAGGAATTGAGTAACATTCTGTCAATTGGACAATAGTTATAGTGAGCTAAGACTACATTAACATTATATATACATACACATATAAAATAAACAGAAGCCAAATAACGATTAAATAATAATAAAAAGGTACAATGTTATTAAATTCCTAATTGATTGATATTATTTTGTTATAAAAGTCAACAGTTGATTTTTGGATCCAGTTTGATGAATAAACATTTTTTTTTAAACAATTAAAAATTTAAAACTTTGGAATGACATCATCTGCCATGAACAATTTCGTGGCATTTTAAGTAACTTAAAAGTGAAAATTATTCAAATTTTGTTCCTTTAATATTTCCATACTCATTGATGTCAACATAGAAATGTATAGAATAATCTGTATAGCTACTTTAAGTACTTTAATATTTTATAATATTGTATAAGATAATATTTGCAATAAAATCATAGCTTTTGAGATTTCTACAAAAAAAGGTTTTTGTCCTTCACCCTCTCTTCCTATCAAAATCAGACAAGGAAAATTTTATAATATTTTACCATTATTACGAGGAGTGTAATGAACAATGTTTGACTAGTTTCAGTTTTTTTTTGGGTGTTGATTTTTATCTTTATCTTTTTGTTTTTAAATATTCTTGGTATATATTTGTAGCTTTTTAGTCCTTTTTGACTATATAATGTTGAAATTTTAATTTTTGTTTTCATCACCAGTATTAATTTAGATCTTTTTTTTCTCATCGAAGTTTTCTTTTAAAATATTTCAACGGTTCAGAAGAATAATTAAAATGTTATTATAATTATTAAGAGGCCTTACATTATATTAGCTTGAAGAGCTTGAACGATGTTGCCTTGAGACTAAATATTAATCAAACAATTGGTTAGACTCTATGACGCCTTGAGGATCCTGCCTCACATATTGGCCAAATCAAAATCGATTGAGGACCAATTTGCGTGTGGATAACGTATTAGACGATTAATGATCTTTTGACTAGAAATCAAATCAGAAGTTTCGTGAATTAAATATTTAGCTTTAATAATTTGGCTAAAAAAACACTACCTGGTATGTATGTAATACCTAATGTATGTAACTCTCTACCATAGTTTATAATAAACAAAACACATCAATTAGAGTTCAGAGTAGAACTAGAACTGGAAGTTAGTTCATTTTACTGATGATTTACAACATTAACGGATCCAGAATTTAATTTTCAGGGAATTTTTTAAATGGACAAGTTGGACTTTAAATGTAAATAATAAGCTTACTCGTTAAAGGTTTCAGTTTTTTCTTTATTGAAGAAAAATGCACTCTATTGACAGCTGTATGAATAAAGTTCCAAAAATAAAGTTTAAAATGCCTATCATTGTTATTTCTATATTGCTCTTGAGATCAGTGTGTTTCATACCTTCACTAGCGGATCCAGCATTTAATTATGGGGGGGGGGCTGAAGCCTAAAGCTTTTTTTAAAAATAAAAATAACGATAATTACTTAGGAAAAAAAGAAACTAACTACCTATATTAAATTGTGTTTTTAGTGATTCCTAAAGTCTTTTTAAATGTAATTACACGAACAATAATACTTTAAGAGATATTTTTTTCCATAAAACATGGTTATATTTTACCATTTTGGAGGGGAGGAGGGCTTCAGCCCCAAAGCCCCCTCGTAGATCCGTCCGTGATATCTTCCTACTAACAGTTTAGCTAAGATTAAGTTGAACATTTATCTATCTTATTATTACCATTATCTTTATAGTTAAACAAAGATTTCTGAATTTTTCGGAGGTATGTCCATTACTGATACCGCCTGTCTATTACTAGAACAATTGAATTTTGGGCTGTCCATTACTAGTTCAAAAAGGTGTTTTTTTTTAATGGAAATTATACCTGCAAACTGAATATTTTTTCAATTATAAATTGTTTTTTTTTTTTTTTTTTTTTAAAAAGGAGACCGTAGAGATTCTAAACGTCAGACGGAGAAGCTTATAACTATAATAATTTTCTTGTCAATGTCCATTACTGATGCGCTTACTCCAATTACCACGGAAGAAAAAGAAAAAAAATACCTATATCAAATTATGTTTAAATGGCCTATCGTAAATTTCTTAACATAAATAAGAAAAATTCTTCATACGTGCTTACATTTTTAAGTATTTAGTTAGCTAAATATTTAAACAATTATTTTAAGATAACTCCGATAAACAAATATGGACGTAGAACCACATGGACATGGAGCAAGCAAATCTACAAAATTCAACAATCCGTCTAATAAAAAACAAGTAAAATTTTAGTAAAACTGTAGTCTCTGAGAAAATGGGTTTCAAATTGTGTTGTAAAGTTAATATTGTCCATTTATTTATATAAAAAAATGCTCAAATGGATAGAGGCAATTTAAATTTAGTTTTCTTAGCTCTCGAAAATATTATCTTTATCCACTTGATTCTTTATTTAAAAGTAGGTTGCATTTTATTATGTTTTGAGTGACTATGTATATAATATATAAGTGGCCCCACATCAAAGGCGGATATCTCTCTACAAATTCGAATTAGTTGAATTTTTCTCGTTCTTTCAAATGGTGAAACTGTTTATATTTTAAACGATCCTGAGTTCCTAACTTGTTACATTGAAACTAAACAATTCTTTACAAAAAGTAACTCCTGAATTTTAAGTTCGTTTTAAAATTGGAAATTTACCAATGTACCAATGGAATAGCCGGGTTCTGATCACGTGATTCAATCTTTGCGTGACTTAAGTGGTTGCCTGTTATTTCCTAAAGGGAAACAACACAAAAGAAAAGATTAAATGGAATTGGAAAGTGCATCCCATAAATTAAAGCCGAAAAAGGAAAGTTGTTGGAGTTCTCTGTTGATAAATTTTCTATAAATGCACCTATGAGAATTCATTATACTTATCGTTTTTTTAATACTTTCACTCTACGTTAAGATAAAAAAATAAAAACAAACTTTTCCTCAATACCTTTTGTATTTAAATTGAAGGAAAGTGAATGCGTATATGAAATAAAACTAATTTTGAAACTATAAATTTAGACAGATAAACGTAATTTTATCATTTTGTTTTTGTGAAACAGTGACAATTCAACAAGATTCTTTCCTCAAATAATTTATCTGTCAGTTATTTTAATTTACTGTCGTTTAGAAATGTCACGAAGGAAAACAATCGTGGTGGGAGATGAAGGCATAAATCAATGGCATTTTTCAAACAAATTTTTCATCAATGAAATACATAAATATGTATCAATATATCAATATCAATGAAATACATAAATAATAAATAAATCTAAAGAGTTCTTTGAACATTATAATTGCAGGCTTTATCAGTCCGATTTGATTTACCTTTTTACTAAAACTAGTTACGAACATCATTTTTTTTAGGTTCGGAATTGCACGATGAATAAGTTGATATTCATTTGGTTAATTTTATAAATGTAAATCCACAACATCTTGTCCTGCGGTATCCTTTAACAATATTCCCTGTCTTATAAACCTTGACGATCGTCTTACCTGAAATCCAAGAAACTGCTCGTAGATTTCGACTTGTAGAACCTTTACTTGGCAAACAGATAAAATTTCCAATTTATTATGGAATTGAGCTTAAGGGCTCTACAAAACCATCAAAGTATTTCGTGTCCAATTGTTACAAACCATAGTCATGAAAAATTCTCAATTCTCGTTATTACGTAACTAAAAATATATCCAAGAACACCTCGATATTGTTGCAGATTTAACCCAAAATAGACATGTATCATTCAATCAAAAACTCGTAACTTGTACAAATTCACTAGATAATATTTCAGCTTAATCTATTACTAATAACACTCTGAGGCGTCTGGAAATAAAATGGTCACGAAATCTCCTACGTTTGAGATGATGAAAAAAAAAAGTACCACTGTTACCTATGTCTGGGGTTCAGTTTGGAACTATAAGGGAGGTAGTATGAAAATACAACACAGTAAATTTCAATATATATATATATATATATATATATATATATATATATATATATATATATATATATATATATATATATATATATATATATATATATATATAAATTCAATATCTATGGAAAATACTCAGTTATTTGAAATCATTTTATGAATGAATTCTTTCATTATCTATTGCTAAAACATTTGAGAACCTTTAAAAATAATTCGTAATTAATGTGTTATTTATGTTTGTTTTTACAGGTCGAGATGTTGGATCAATCCACGAGTATTTTAATTTCCATCACAGCTGTTTTTTTCGTATTTCTTGGAGTATGCTACGAATATTTAAAAAGACGTTATAGATACTGGAGTGATAAGGGGATTCCAGGCCCCAAACCGATTGTCTTCATTGGTAACATGAAAGAATCGTTATTTAGGAAATGCACAGAACCACAAATGACAGACGTTTGGTACCAGAACTACCGTGGCAGTCCCTACATAGGTTTCTACAACCTGCTGAAGCCTTCTGTCTTCCTCATCGACCCAGAACTGATCAGGAAGGTCACAGAAGTCGACTTCAATCATTTTGTCGACCATCCTCCCCTAAGTGGACACTCAGGCAGCGACGCCATCATCGATTCCTTATTCACGATGAACGGCCAACATTGGAAGGACAAACGCTCAATATTTTCAAGGATGTTCACGCCCAAGAGGTTGAGGGAACAAATAGAAATCTTCAACAACCGGTATTCCTTTCTGAAGGAGGAGATCGAAAAGCAGCCAGGACTTAGTAAAGATGCTGATTTATTCAAGTTTATCGGGAGATATATCCTCATTGGTTTTTCCACAATACTGTATGGTCTCGACTTAACGAAGGACGAAAAATTATTTGAAGACTTTGAGAGGCACTCGGAGATTTTCTTACATCCTGGATTGCACACTTCATTGATGTTTTTATTCTATTCTGCCTCTCCAAATCTTTTCAATTTACTGAGCATGAAAACTTTCCCGCGAGATATTTATCACTATTTTTCTCCTTTAACGAAAGGATTGTTAGAGCAGAACAAGAAATTGGGATATACCAATAGTAGTGACTTGCCGTCATTGCTCAATCAATATCAAGATTCCAACCCCGCTTCAGGTACGATATATTCCTTTGATGTTTAAATTCTTATATCTTGTGTACAATTAGATAATATATATATATATATATTTTTTTTTTTTTGTTCATCCCCTTCCTCGCCGTTAAGGCTACACGGGGATTTCCCGGGCCAGGGGATGTGGGCGGGGATTTAAAAGACTCCCTCGGCACCGGGACACGAACTCGTGACTATTTTTATATCATTAATTCATATGTCAGGTTGCCGGGCAATGGCGGTGATTTGCACACGCTTTAGCCCATTCGGCCACCCCGCCCACCAAGATAATATATTTAAAACAGCTGGATCATTCTTCTTCTTCTGCTTATATGTCACTAGGTCACACATGAAGCCATGGCTTCTTGCAACTTTGATCCTCAGGCATTCCTGTTCCGCGCTGTCGTCATCCAATTCGTATCCCCCGCAACTTTCGTCTTCTTCCTCTTCTTTTGCTAATGATATGTTCCAAGAGGATGTTTTTGAGACCTGGCCTTCAGGTATTCTTATAACAAGTCCAGCCCATCTGAAATAGCTTTCTTTGATAAAGGCCATCACATCAACATTAGTTTGCCATTATTTCGCTGTTCTCAGACTCCATTTACATATCTTGCTCCCATGAATCTCCTTAGAATTTTCAACTCAAATCTTAGTAGAGCCCATTCTTGATTTTTTGTTATAGTCCAACATTAAAAAATTAAACAGTTAAACATTAAAAAAAACGACCCCAAGATTAATATATTAATGTCCTATAACCTGAAGGCAGCTATCAGAAGTTAGCGAAAATGATAACGCCTACTTCGCAGCCTAGTTCCCACCAGCAGTACCATTAGTTAATTAATATAGTCGATAAAATAATTAACATAATTTTATGAGATGCACTTGGTGGCGTATACATCATTAGTATACATCAGAAACAGGCATCCATCTACTTACTACATTCTATTTAGATATTGAAATTAAACTCTCTATTTATTACTGGTACGTTAAAACATGTTGACGTATTTTTCAACTCTCTTTCTACTCATCATATCGAGGATTTCAACAGCTTAACGGGCTATTTTGACAAAAGAAGAGTGCAGATAAGCCCAGTAGTTTTGTGGTTGGGTTTTATAAATAAAATGAGGGCTGTACTTTTATATAATAGGATTAATAAGTTTTAAAAAAATGTCCAATATACAGAAAGTACACTTTTCACTTAACACAACATATTTTTGTAGCGTAGCTTTGAACTTACATTTCCCTGTTAAAAGATCTACAATCAGATATTAAGCAGTATTAAATTTAATATTATAAAAAAAAACCTATTTATTAATAATTAAAATATACTTATTAATGATTAATTTACAATCATGAAACGACCGTTTTACACACAACCTAACAAATCTAACCTGTATTATGATGTTATTCTCAATTCATAACAAATATTTTATTGCAGTTATTGTTTAGTAAATTACAACTCTATTATTATGAATTTTATTTATATTTATAATATGTTTATATTTTTTATTTCAGCTATAGACCATCCGGAGTCTGTTGGTCATATTTTCAGTTTTTTGAGCGCCAGTAACCACACGACAATCACCACCATCAGCTATGGTCTCTTCTTGCTCGGCCAACATCCAGAAGTTCAGGACAAGCTTCGCGACGAAGTGGATAGAGTGTTGAAAGATAATCAAGATATCACATCTGAAAACATCAATGAGATGGTCTATCTAGATGCAGTACTCTATGGTAAAATTTATTTTTTTGGAAGATTAACTTATAACATTCAACATTAATACACATATTAGCCCTTTTCTCAGACCTGTTTCATTTCAGCTCAAAATTATTCCTCCACTGTTTAGAATTCCGTCCCTCTTAAAAACTCCCATGTCCCCATCCTTATCCACATTTAAAACCCTCCTATTCCAGTTGCTCCTCACAAATGAATCAGAATAATCATGTCATTGTGTGACAAAGTTTAACTTTTATTGATACATCTCTTTATTTATTTTTTTTTAACATGGTGAATATATTGTTTTTTTGCAGTGCGTATTATAAGATTTCATTTTTTTGAGATATGTTTCATTTCCACAAATCTTAACTACCCTGGCAACATACTGTTTCCAATCTACGCCTGATTACCATTTACTTTACAACTATACAGACTATTCATATTTAAAAATATTTCACTAATTGTCCCTTTTACTTAACCAATTAATCACTGCATTAAGATCTACAAGCACAACATGAGCTGAACATTCTAATCCACTTGTACAGACATTACAACCACAGAATCCAATAAGGAGCCTTAAACGTCTCTGGAGCAAGGATCTGCTGCATTAAGAAAAAGATCATGTTAGGAGTGCCTTCACTTCCTTTTCGAATGGGGTTCTCAAGAATTTACGTTAATTCCGGGGGAGAGGGAGAGGGGGGGGAGAGGAGGAGGAGAGAATTTGACTACTGAAGATCACATTTACTAAATATGCCAAAAGACATTAGTAAAATAAAAAAATATATTTTATTATTATTATTATTATTATCCTTTATGGATTTACGTATTAGAGTTATGGGCCACTGCGAAAATTTCAAACAGTTCAATCAAAGCTTTTGAGATAGTAAATAGTAGATTCACTGTTTTAATGACTTTAATAGACGTGTAACAAATAACATTCTACACAAAGACATGTACATACAAACAGTTTCAGATACTGCTACATAATACCATAAAACGCAGGAGGATCTATGAGGTGGAGGGCTTTCGGTCTGAAGTCACCTCCCGAAATGGTAAAATATAACTATGTTTTATGAAAAAAATTATCTCTAAATTATTGTATAATTTCATTTAATAGGACTTCAAGAATCACTTAAACATCATTTCATAGATAATTAGTTTCTTTCTTTCTTCCGAAGTAATTATCATAACATATACATACAAAAAAAATCTTTACGGCTGAAGCCTCTCCCCAAAATTAAATCCTGGCTCCATTCGTACTATAAAAACTTCCACCACAGACCGACTTGCAACATGAACCCATTAGGCCAAACACTTATTTCCACCATGAAGCCCGTACACTCCATCCCAACGACTTTTAAGGCGGTGGCCAAGAGATTTACTAACTTAACTCTTACATATATGTAATTTGCACATATTTATTTATTGAAAAACTTTTGCAGATGACAAATCTCAAGCTTGCTAACTTATGTATCTGTTTAGATAATTAAAATTATTATCCAGTTATATGATTTTATTTAAATCTTTTTAAAAAAACGATTTAAATCATTTCCTTTTTCATTTATTATCGATAAGATTTTATTATAAAAAAAAAAAATTAATTTCCTTTTCTGTATTTTTTTAAATAAATCTTTGATAAATAGTAATTATGATTATATTTATTTTGGTGATTCACATATTGCAATAAATCTTATGTTCTTATGATCAGAATGACGAAATGAAATAATGAAAATGACAGTTCATTCTTTATTTGTCTGTACCTAGTTATTCTTAACGATCTTTTTTCCAGAATTCATCTGCTTTTTTCATTCTAATCTATTATATTCTAAAACAATGCTATTTTAAGATAATTAGACTGTTCAGAAGATCTTTTTAATTTTTAGTGAATAGTATATTTTTATAAAAAAAAAAAAAACACAGATTAATTTAGTGATACAGTTCCAGCTTTAAAAATATGTTTAAAGTGGAATATTGTTAAAACGAAATTGAATTTTAGCAAACGTGATTCGCACATTTATATTTTAAGAAATATGGACCTTAAATAACATAACCTGACGCCTGTTTACAGAAACGATGCGAATGTACACGTTGCTCGGAGTGTTAAAGAGGATTTGTACAAAGAAATATTACGTTGACGAACGCCTAACCATTCCTGAAGGTATGGAAGTCTTCATTCCTGCCCAGTCACTTCACATGGATCCTGAGTATTTCCCGGAACCGGAAAAGTTCAATCCAGAAAGATTCTTGGGTCTTGAAAAGCTGCCCTCTATCTTCATGCCTTTCGGAAGAGGACCAAGGAACTGTATTGGTAAGTGCCACTAATAGAACTAAATCTCCTGTACTTTAATAAGTTATAGGTTAGCTTCAAAAATCTTCATATACCATCGAACGTAAACTCTAACACCCAAATCGGGAAATAAGTACTATTTTCTTTCCATTCTAATTAACTATTCGCTATTCACTAATTCACTAGAATCTATTCTTAGAATCATAAAGCAAAAATATATATCGGAAGTTGATAGGATATTGTTAAAACCTATCAGACAGTCTTGACCTATCAACCTCGTTAATGGTGCCTTGATCACTACTTAACAATAGTCGATTCTTGCTATATTCTACTTAACTTAGCAATGTTTGGACGCGATCATCCATTTCTCAAATTTTCATATTTAAATTTGATTTATATTTTTGTTCTTTGTTTTGGCTCAAATTCTATTTCTTTGTAAATGACTTTCATTCTGTTTTTAAAAACGAAATGTAATAAAAACATCTTCCAAGGAAGATCAGTATAGCTTCCTTATGGTTTGCATTGGCTAAAAAATATCTATTTTATAAGGTCTAAAATTTTTCTTACGAGGATAAAATCTCTGGGAGAAGCCTTTTTCGGAAATTCAGTAATCCCTCAATATATACGGATTTGATATCCACGAGCTTTGTTCATCAGCGAATATTAAAATGCGAAAAAGTTCCGTACATGCAGATTGCATATTTGATGACTCGAAATTAACAAAAAAAAATAGAGTGCGTACTGAACATTAATATCACTACTGTTAATACAAAAAGCCTTATGTAAACATTGAGTGTTTTATAGGAGAGCATAAAAACTAATTGTTTCGTTATGATTTACTAGCATAATTTCAAAATTTATTGCTATCTGCTATTTGTCATCGTACCAGAATGCTTAACATGCTTTTGCAGTAACAGTAGTAATATGCACTTAATCGGTTTTCACTTTAAATGTTTTCACTCGTAAAATCTATGTTTCCAAAACTCAATAAAAGAAATAAGAAAAACCTAAACTTTCTGTTTTTTCAGAGTTAACAAGACCAATACTTTTCTTCAGTCAGAACAAAACTATTTAAGTTGGAATATAAATATATATGTAAAAATCACACATAAACTCGATACTACGACGAGCTGGTTGAACTTCAATAGAAATAAACACAATCATAAATAAGATTTTAATTTTTTACAAACTCGGAGTAAAAATTAATTTAAATTAATTGAAAATTACGCGAAATATAAGTAACGTTTGGAATCGAACAATACAGTATAAACTAACTCTTTGAATAAAAGCTAAAATTTTATAACCCCATAAGAATATTGCCATAACCTAACTCCCACTCCATATGATCAGTGCCTTTGGTATTTCACTGCCATAATATTGTTAACAATTATTTATATTAATTTTAATTATTAAATGGAATTCAATGAAATTCATCTTAGAAAATTTCTATAATATTCCAGAAATTTCCTCCTAATTTGGGTCAAATTGAACGCACAGTTATCAAACTACAGGCTTGCAAAATAATACGTTTGCTGATCTGAAAGCGAAAGTATTTTTCATGGAGAAGTATATAGACTTTCATAAAATTCATACCTACTTGATTATCTGTTTACCAATCCCTAACTTCTCTCCAAATTTGATCCAAATCGAACATGCGGTTTTAGAGATATAGACGTATCAAGGAAAACACGTTTGCACATATATACCAAAAATTAGTGGACAGAATTCAATAAAATTGACACTACATTATTTGTTCACCATTACCTACCTTTTATCTTACTTTGAGCCAAGTCCTTTCTGAAATATTGGCATATCTAAAAAAATACGTTTGCGTAAGCGGAAGTGAATTGGATAAAATTGATATGGGACCATCTAGGCACAAACCTGCATAATCCCTAAAAATGTCCAGAAAATCGGACGAACGCTACTGGGTGATATGCCAGTCACATCGATTTGACTACAGACAGACACCGAACCATCAAATTTGATATTTGATGCCTGAAAAGTAAGAGGCAAGTGGACATTTTTGATTCTGAGTACAAACATTTTTTTATGCTCTAGCACGAACACAATACTTCCCTACCTTCGGTAGCGAGGAAACAAAAAGTGAGGTAATGATATTCAATTGTATGTTATTTTTTAGTAGATTATTTTATCTGTTTGTTCTAGGACTCAGAATGGCTGAAATCGGTTTCAAGATTGCAGTTGCTAGATTAATATCCGATTACATAATCTCACCAAATCCAAAAACGACTCTTCCTCTCAAGTACGATCGGCTGTCGACGTTCATAACTTGCATGCCAGAGAATGGATTGTGGGTCAAGTTACAGAAACGATGACTTTGAGGGGAAGGAAGAGGAGCCAATGGATCTAACTACGCCACTGATTGAAGGCTGTGTAATAATCATTCAAATACTCAATGGTTGACCGTAGTATAATATTGAAAAAGAGAGGGTCCGGGGTGGCAGTTAAGAAAAAATTTAAAATAGTGAAAAATATTTCATTTTAAGCCAACGTTTCGACCGAACTATGCAGGTCTTCATCACGGACATAGTCGAGATGGATGGTTCCATGTGAAACGTCCCTCACATAACAATTTCGCAAATATAGCTTATACACAGCACCTTAAATAACTATTTATTCGCACCTTGTATAACTGTTCCACATATATAGCATACACTTTCGCTTATACACAGCACCATATATAACAGTTTCGCACGGGACACCAACCCGACCATGCCCCTCATGAAGACACTCATAGTTTGATCAAAACGTAGGTTTAAAATAAATTAGTTTTTACAATTTTTTTTTTAATGACCGTCATCCCGGACCATCTCTTTTCTCTAATAATCATTTACGTAATGTTATTTGATAAACCAGGGTATTACTCAAATTATTTATAAAATTATCAAAAATTTCGATAATCACACTCAATAGCCACGATTATTTAATAATCTAAAAAAAAAAAAACTAAGAAAATATTTACGGTTTGTTACTTTTTTGGAACCAATAGTGTAAAATAATGACATGCGTTTATGATTAATATAGCTAATTATTTTGATCTCAATGGTTTTGTTTTGTTGATTATTTTTAATGTTCTATCTATAGAATAAATAAATATTCACATTATTATTAATTTCAGTTTTCAATTATTGATTAAATCAGTTTTGTTTTTGTCAATATTTTCAGTTAGTTTTATTATGATTTAACCACAGTTAAATGTTTAGTTGTTAATTTCAATTTAAATACCGATATAATATTAATGTGCCTTATTTTTTGCATTTAGATATGTAATCAGGAAATATAAAAGAAATTATTATACATTTTATTTGTGATTTATATTTTTAATCACAATATTTATTTCAAATTATTGATATACTTATGAATGCCACAAAGTGTTTTTCATAATATAGTTTAATAAAACTTGTTATTCTGTGAAATTACAAATATAATAAAAAAATAAAGAACATAATTTCAAAAGAAATTATTTTTATTTTTGTCTTATATTTTTTAAGATAGAAATTAAGTCTGCGATAAAATATATGATAAATATTCGACTACCCTAAATTGAATCTTGAAACATTAATATAGTAATACAACTTTATTTTAAGATACTGTAGTATTCAGAACAATTATTATTATTATTCTAAGATGGTATATGTAAATCAGGAACTAAACCTTCTCAATTTGCTAACAAAATTTACTTTGGTTTGTATTATTGAAAAAGAAAAAAGAAAAATTTCAGGTTGTTTACATGTCCAGGATGTCTTCTACGGTGTGATAGAGCTAAGTGAGACAATTTTAGACACAATAGTAATTAATTATGAGAGAAAACAAGTAATAATAATGTGTGCAACTTTCACACAAGATATTAAGTTAACAGCTTTTGATGATAAGAAACTAAATTCCGAAACGTCAAACTAATAAAAAATAATAAGAAAATAATATTTGGATCCTATATTAATAAAAAAAAATAAATCCAAAAGAAATAGGTATCAGGAAAGTATTTCCTCTGGTCATATAACTAAGTGATTAGTTCAACAGTTAGAAACTCCATAAAACTGTTAAATTTTATAGATTGATTCGACAGCATTGTTAACTAAATATTTTTTACATCAATGTTTAGATAATTTAGATAAAATTTTCGGTAGATAAGCATGACAAATGCCAAAATTTGCTCAACTTTTAATGATCAAGATATCGTTCCGAGGATGAAGCATGGAAGATTATGATGGGCTGGCCACGAAGATGATCCTGACAGAACCTCTCTACGGCACAAGAAGAAGAGGGAGACCAAAACTAAGATGGTCAGACGGTGTGGCAAGAGATTCAAGGGATGCCCTGGGAGTCAGGAGCTGGATGATGGCCGCACAGAACAGAGATGACTGGAGGAAGCTGGTAGGAAGAGACCTAAACTCGTCATCGAGTTGTAGGGCCTTGATAATAATAAATAATATTTACTATAAAACTCTCAAGCGTTATTATTACTTTTTTTTGGAAGTGAGAGAAGGGATACTTTATGTATTAATAATTTTATCTTTAAAATAGAATCTTGTTAATAATATGATCAGTTTTTAAAACTTGAAAAAAAAATGGAAATCGGAATAAATTTAAAGGTATATACACTGGAGAGATATCATTATCAGCGTCACCATCATGATATAAACAGCGCCAGTGTAGTTGAGGACATATCAGTGTATCCGCTGATCTCGCCAGGGAATCATGCACCTTTGGTATTTCAGGACCGTTCAATTTCCCTATTCCATAGTATGTATCAACTATATATATATTTATTTATTTATTTAAATATAGATGAGTTGCACTCATCTATTGTATCTTGTTGAATTATTCTTTTCCATTTTCGAGGGTTCTCGGCAATCCTCATTCGTATATGTTCCGGTAGACCTGCTGAGCCTTCTCTTTTAATAGCATATTTTAATGAATCTTCATGTATCAGAAGGTCGAGAGGTACAACTCCTTCTGAAATGTGCACCGCCTCATGAGACACACTCCGATACGATTTAGTGACTCGCAGCAGAGCCGTCCGCTGAAACGACGCCAACCTGCGTTTCTGCCGGTGTGAGGGATTTCTGAACCAAGGGAGAGACACGTACCTTAGGATACCCAATATCACTTCATTATAAATGGTCATGGTTGCTGGGTATCTGAGGCCCCAAAAGGCACCACCCAGACGACTCAGGTCATTCAATGGGTCGTGAGGGCATCTAGGTCTAGGACGACCATATTTTCATGATAGTCCAAGTGAGGGGTAACGTTGAATCCTCTTCCGAATCGGATACCAAGGTAGGTGACCACCTCACTTGGACGTGTTCTTGTTCCTCCAATGTTAAGGTTTATAGGATGAGCCCGATCCGTTTTCCCTTTCAAGAGGATGGCCTGAGTCTTTGCAGCAGCCATTTTCAATGTTTTCATCTCATACCATATATTAATTGGAGCATAGCTCAATGGGTAAGTCACTGAGTGCCAAAGATCAACGCCCTGTATTTGAATCCAGCTGATGGCAGGTATATACTTTTTCTACTTTATCGGGGACCCTTCTTAGCCTTTATTGAAATGATACTCTTAATTAATAATTTAATTCAGCGCAAGACCTGGCGGTTGAGAGTGATTTCGGTCAAATGAGCTCCTTGCACAACCAAGACCCTTCACGAATCAATGTAGTACAGGTTTTTATAGTATATTAAATAGAATAATTAGATCATAATTTGTTTAATTATAAGGCTTTAGCAGCAGAAATCATTTCAAGATTAAATTATAATTTTAAATATATAAATAAAATACAATAACAGATAATGTATGAGAAAAGGTCTTAGTTCATCAGATAACCATGTTTGCATTTAAAGACATTCATGTAAAAGATATATTCAATGCGACCAACCCAACATATTGCACTCGAAGAAGGTTCAAACATGTTCTAGGGTTATCTTTTGATGTCTGGTCCATTTGAAAAATGTCGATGCTATGCTTATCGATATGTATGTATCTGCAAACATACATACAAATCATTTAAAGAGCGAATTCAAGATCTCACTATTTTTCATGAGAGCATATTTTACAAGATTTTTAGAAAAATTTGTTTTCGCGGTTGTTACATCGGAGTACTATAGATTTAACAAAGTGAGACCTTGGTGCCATGAATGTAAACAGTTGAAAATTTGAAAATAACTAATTTATCCAACTTGGCCTTTTCTAGGGTACCGAGGATACACGGGCGGATCTACGGGGAGGGGGCTTTCGGGCTGAAGCGTCCCCAAAATGGTAAAATATAACCATGTTTTATCGAAAAAAATATTAAAAAAGTATCTCTTAAAGTATTATTGTTCGTGTAATTACATTTAAAAGGGCTTTAGGGATCACTTAAACACCATTTCATATAGGTAGTTAGTTTCTTTCTTTTTTTCCAAAGTAATTATCGTTATTTTTATGAAAAAAACAACTTTCGGGCTTAAGTCCCCCCAAAAATAAATCCTGGATCCGCTAGTGCGAGGATATATACATTGACGAACATAGTAACTTATTAAAACCAATGTTTTGGGTTGAGCTGTCTTCCTCCAAACTAGCAATATGTTGTATATGGCCTATTAAGGTGTTTTTATTGTTTTCATTTCAAAGAAAAATAATTTCATAAGTTAAATTTTTGAAACTTATTGCTTCAAGTTTTGAACATAATTTTATAGCTTGCAAAAAAATACTTTAAAAACAGATCCGTCGCGTGCAGATAAACGCTTCGTTTCAAAGAGCCCACTTTGATTGCAGACTTTTTTTAACCGGTATATAGGCCAGAGAAAAAACCTTATAGCCTAAAAAAGAGTAACGATATATTTATACTATCGAAATAGATAAAAGCTATTTAGGAAAAGTAAATAGTGCGGTGAGATAAGCATTGTTCTGGGTAATTTCGACGTAAACAAACTTTAAAGATCATACAATTTAAACTAGACTAACCAAACGTTTTCCAATTATAACAATTTCCTTTATCTTATCATTCGTTAGATAAGAAATGTGCTACATTTGCAACTAGGAATAGTGTAAGCTCCATCGGTGAAGGCTGACGATTATCTTTTTTATCTTTTAGTAATATTCGTCACTCGCTTTTTTATAAATCAATGGTTTTGTTCAGATCAAAATTCTAAAAAACAATAAGAAAGCTTGTAAAATTAAAAAAAACAAAACAAGGATATAGCAAATCCTAACGAGCAATTATTTCCAATAAAATAAACTCATCTCTTTTGAAAAATCTTTTATAACTCGTGCTATCTCGTTTTAGAATTCCTTACCGAACTCCTTTCGTAAAGCTCGGTAACCTCATTCAAACCAATTTTTCCTATTCATACCTATTTTTCCATCTAGGCTCAGTAAGTTGGGGTAAAAATGGAAATATATATGCTAAAATAAGTTAGTAAGGCCGAATATATCGGTTAAGGTCATAGAGCCGGAATTTCGATATCTACTCAAATTACCTTAATAAATTAAAAAGACCAAAAAAAAAAAAAAAATAAAATAAAAATATAATTTTTTATTTTTTACATAATTTAGGCCAATATTCACCAACATTTTATTGATAAGCTCCTTTTTCAAGTATGGCAAATTGTAATATCATTATTAGTTAGCATTTAACGTTTACAAAAAGAATTTCTTATTACACATAATTAACTTGTCTAACGATCTATGTCAAATTATTTTCGATACACATAGATTTATCCAAATCTATACAATAAAAGTATTGTTTGATTTTAAAAATGCCAAAATAATATATAAGGAAAATAGTAACAATAAAAGAAAAATTATAGAGTCAATATATATTACTAAAAATTTAAAGAATTCCGTTAACAACCATACAGTTGTGGATAATATAAATCTTTTTACGCAAATGTAATTAACAATATTCGCATATAATACAAAATTAATTTAAAAGTAATATAAAAATCATAAATTAGATAAAATAATCCACCAATGCAAAACAATAGAAGGAAAACCCCTCTCCTCTTGACTATCAAACTACTAATCTTGATAAAATAATACCGATATATCGGTATTTGCCCAAATTAGGGAAATATGATGGGCAGATAGAAAGAATTAAATAAACATTAGTCCAATTCTACCAACAAAATTTCATCAAAATAAGGTCATAAGGCCGATATTTTGGTCTTTAGGATATCCATATCTGCTGAAAATCTGAGATTAGGCTGAAAAAAAAAAATGAAACAAACTATATATCGGCAAATTGGCGTTTAATATCAGCCATTTATTATCGGTGTAATATTAATTAGCATATTTTATTAACCTGATAACAACCAGCAGTCTTTTCATTGTTTCTAGGGAACAGAGAAGGCAAATGATATTTTCCTGCATGGTACGGCAAAAATCATATTCTAGGCTTGGATTCATCAATAATTTGTATTAATTCATTATAATAATCCTTAAAAAAAATCCACAAAAAACAAAAACTTTTTCTTTTTCAAGATTACAGTAAATTTATTGTTCACAATGAAATAATCTCTAAATTGAAAAAAAAATCTCTATACGATCAACGATTGTCCGAGGAGGCAATGTGACAAAGATCACGTTCAACCGCCAGGTTTTTCTCTTAATGAGGTATTTAGTTAAGAGCACCAATGTGCTTCAGGTTCTACTGACCTCAGGGTTGGCCCATGGCTGATATAACTAAATCAATAATTGTCTGCTACAGCCAGACTCGAACCTGGTACCTTGAAGATAGAGAACAGTGATTTAGTCACTGAGCTACTCTATTTCGAGACTAGTTGTAGAAATGCTACCAATTAGTAGTTCTAGTTCCTTTATAAATAAATAAATAAATATATATATATATATATATATATATATATATATATAGTGTTTTTGTATAGTATTATTTCACATTCACTTTAAGTATGAGTATTCACAATTTTTTGAAATCATTAGAGAAATAAATTCTTTGTTCATCTATTGTTAAAATATTTGAAAATTATTCAATAATAACTTGTTATCAATGTGAAAATTATTATCTTTGGTTTTACAGGGCGAGATGTTTGAACAATCAACGATTATCTTCATTTTATTTTTCATCACAGCTGTATTTTGCAGTTTTCTAGGAGTATGCTACGAATATATGAAAAGACGTTATAGATACTGGAGTGATATCGGGATTCCAGGACCGAAACCGGAATTCATTATTGGTAACATGAAGGAGTCCCTATTTATGAAATGCACAGAACCAGAAATGACGGACGTTTGGTACAAGGACTACCGAGGCAATCCCTACATAGGTTTCTACAACCTGCTCAAACCTTCTCTTTTCATCATGGACCCGGAACTGATAAGGAAAGTCACTGAAGTCGACTTCAATCACTTTATTGACCATCCTTCCTTCAGCGAGCATTCTGGTAGCGACGTCATTATCTACTCCTTGTTCGCGATGAAGGACCAAGTTTGGAAGGTGAAACGACCGATATTTTCAAGGCTGTTCACGCCCAAGAAGTTGAGGGAACAAATAGAAATCTTCAATAACCGATATTCCTTGCTGAAGGAGGAAATTGAAAATAAGTCAGAACTTAGAAAAGACACGGAATTATTAAAATTCATCGGAAGATATATTCTCATTAGTTTTTCAACAATACTTTATGGTCTCGATCTAATGAAGGACGAAAAATTGTTTGAAGACTTAGAAGGGCATTCCGAGAAATTCTTTCATCCTGGATTGCACCAGGCGTTGATGTTCTTATTCTACACTGCTTCTCCGGATCTTTTCAATTTCCTGAGGATGAAGACTTTTCCGCGAGACATTTGGAAATATTTTTCTCCTTTCACGAAAGAACTTCAAGAACACAACAAAAGATTGGTAAATACGAACGGGTGTAACTTGGTATCGTTGCTCAACCAATATCAAGACTCCGAGCCTGCCTCAGGTAAGATGTGTTCCTTAAACTTTAACATTTTTATTTCCTTATATTAGATAATAGATATTTAACAGTTTGAATTTCATAAGACAATTTTATAAAATCTAAAAAATCCTGATTATCGTTTCACTCCTTTGAACCTCCACTAATCCTCTTATTGATAATTTAAAATACCAGCCTATGAAATGTAATACATCAGAAGTCGGCCTTAGAAATCTAGGTTTCTAAATATTTTTATAGATACTTTGATATTTTTTTAAGATTAAAAGAGAAGCATTAGAAATTCTATAATATTATTTGAATTTTCCTAATACCTAATAATAATTTTTCTAATGTGTAACCACTAAGAATGTGTAAGCATAATATTACTTATGTAAGGTAATTAGCTGGAAGATGCTAAAACATACAGTTAAAAATATCACCATCAAAGCTTAAATGTAGCATCATAATTGAAGAAGAAGTATTTGAATTCTTCAATGTTCGAAATGGTTCGCGGGATGGAGATGGGCTCTCGGCGATGTTGTTCAACATAGGGCTGAAGAATGTGATAAGAACATCACGTAAAACAGAAGGATGCACGTCAAAATGAATCATACAATCCTTGGATATGTAGATGATATAGCTATCCATGGAAGCAATAAAGAGGACAATGAGAGACTCTCTGACAAGAGAAGTGAGCGAATTAACCTTTAATCAAATGAAGATAAAACAGAATATGTGATAAAGTACAAAATTTCATCCAAATAACAGGATTTGTGTTGAAGGGAAATAGCACCTTAACATGTTAAGTAAATTACAACTGTATTATTATGAATTTTTATTATATTTATAACGTATATAGTTATATTTATAACGTATTGCTATGTTCCTGGACTTCGCGTTTCTTCGGCGAGTAGGGGGTTCCAGGAACCGAGTTTATTTCTATTTAATGTATTTAATATTTATATTTGTATTTATATCGGTTCCAGAAGGGAACCGATCAACAGAAGAATATACGAATTGTGTATTTAAAGGTTAGATACCACAGACCCCCTACTGTAGTATCCTAGATTGATTATTATACTTCTTATTGAATTTCTTTTCAAAAGATATCGTGTTTAAAAATCTACTAATTGTTTCTATAACTAATTGGTGGCATGCAAGGTAGATTGTAAAATTATTAAGATGGTATAATAACTAATATATTTATAAACTTAAACAAAACCAGAACATATATATACAATGAATAGTGGAGAATCGTATTAGAGGAGAATACTATTTTGGATAGGACTGGTTGAAGTTAATAATGAGATATTGATTCTAATAATGATTGCCATCACAAGTTTACATATGGATAATTAAATGAATGTTACATCTTAACTGCTTCTTCATGGTGAGGGATGTCGCAGATATCTCTAGCTCTCTCTTCTCCTGGCTGCTCCTGGACTCTCCTAGATTGACTCCCAGCTGCCTCTCTGTGGACTCTCCAGTCCATGTTGCTCTCTCAGGCCCTCTTCCTCGACTGCCCCCTTTCCAATTTTTCTGTCATCCATCTCTCTTTTTGTAGTTTTCTCTGAATGGCTGAATTCCCTTAGCATAAGGGATGACCACGCCCCCAGGCCGTACTCTGTTTTCTCTTTCTTGAAGGTATTTCTGTTCCCTCCTTTGGTTAGACAAGCTTTTTCGATCCTCTCCAAACATGCTCCCGTAAGACCGTTGTCGGTCCTTTGGTGTTCTTGCCGACCTCTGTCCTCAAGTGTTTTACTGTCCCTTACAAAAGGTTGCAATCAGTAGTGGGTCGTTAGACTCCCTCAGGTAATCGCCCAGATATTAGTGTTAGCAATTATCATTTAGAATATATTTATTCATTTGAAATGATTAAATAAATTCCACAGGTGATCCTTAAATTACAGTATGTATGTGTTTTTTGCTTTTTTTAATTTCTTTATTTATTTTATTTATTGTATATACTTTTTGATTATTATTCTGTTATATATTTATTTTACATTTTTTTGCACATACAGTGTGAATGTGATCCTACCTCACCATAACTAATGTCAAAATGACAGGATATTGTAATATTAAATAAATATATAGTTTAGAAAAAAAAATCATATGTTCATATTCTTTATTTCAGCTATAGACCATCCGGAGGCTGTAGGTCATATTTTTAGCTTTTTTAGCGCCAGTAATCACACGACCATCACCACCGTCAGTTACGGTCTCTTCTTGCTCGGTCAACATCCAGAAGTTCAGGACATGCTTCGCGAAGAGGTGGATAGAGTATTGAAAAGAAATCAAAATATCACCTCTGAAAATATAAATGATATGGTCTATTTGGATGCAGTCCTCAACGGTAAGACTAATTTATATACAATATAAGAGAAATTATATTCTATATTAATGTACAAAGCTATACTATTTTAAGTGAACTAGACTGCTCAGAAGACCATTTTAAGTTTTTACATGCTATACAACATAAAAAAGATATTTTTTTTATCAAATTCATAGATTAATTGCGTAAAATACACCCAGTTTTTCAAATATTGTTGAAATAAATCGTAATTAAAATGACTAACGTTGTTAGGAAATTTATCCTTTAATAGTATAGTCCTTGAATAACATATATTGACGTGTGTTTACAGAAACCATGCGACTCTATCCGTTGCTCGGGGTTTTAAAGAGGGTTTGCACAAAGAAGTATTATGTCGACGAACTCCTAACAATTCCTGAAGGCATGGATGTCTTTATCCCTGTTCAGGCACTTCATATGGATCCTGAGTACTTCCCGGAACCGGAAAAGTTCCATCCAGAAAGATTCTTGGGTCTTGAAAAGCTGCCCTCTATCTTCATGCCATTTGGAAGAGGACCAAGAAACTGTATTGGTAAGTAGTGTTATTTGCGATAAATTGAACGAAGTCAATTATAAATTATTTGCGTATACAATGTCTTCAAAATTTTAATTATTTGTTTCCATTTGTATAATTATTGTAAATCAACAAATCTCTGGGTCATTTTTATTTTATCAGAGTCGAGCAGGTAACGGATAACAGGAAATCGATAGGAGTGGATTGAGGTAATTTTAGGTTGGAGAGTAAAATGTAGGGTATTTGTCGTGGATGTAGGATTTAATTATTGAAAGGTTTAAGTCTCGATTTGAAATATATTATGGCACATTAACAACTTTTCTAAGAATTTTTTATTGTATTGTTTGTAATTTGATTATGTGTGTGTTTTTCTGAAACCCAAATTTCTCTCCGTATGCAAAATTGATTTTTATAGGGGTGCCCAACCACCCCTCCCCTAGGTAGATGGTGCATGAAGCTTTCCCCACTCTTCCCAAGATATTTTACTGCTCACCTATTCTTAAAAACAGTGCAAACAAAAGTATAATTTAAAAGTTCGTAGATCATATAAAATTACACCGTCTGTTTTATGCTTCCATTTGTTTTTTGATATACAGGCATTAAAACTTTTCATTTACAACATTCATTACCCCATCAAAATGTGTCCCCTCAAAAATTCAAAACTCCATAAAAACGTGCTCCCAGAGGTGCCCAGAAAGGGGTTTGATGACGCAAGTGCACCATCGAAATTTTTGAGGGTGCAAATTTTGACATGGTTTTGAGTTTTTGAGGAGGGCACATTGTGACGAGGTTATGAATTTTCGGAATGGAAAGTTTCAAACCAGGTGGCGAGGGGAAAACCTGGAATAGATCTATAATTTTTAAATTTTGCTTTAACTGCACTGTATTTAAGAAGAGAAAAGCAATAAAATATCTTGGGAGGAGGGGGAAGAGAGGTTCATCAGGTGTGCACCCGTAAACATTTTTATAGTGCAACTTGAGCAAAGAAATCCCCATTTGGACACCTCTGGATCTTAATACAATATTATAGATTAGTCAATTTTTTACAAAGTTAAGTGAGGTCTGTAGTCCAGAAGAGGTGAGGCTTGTTTATATCGTCCTGTCAGTTCTTCTATTTTTAATTATAAGGGTCCTCTTTTCTATGAGCCTGCCGCCACAAAAATTCTCATAAATATGAATCGAGGTGTTGTCTGGTAGTTCCTCTATGTTTCTCATTTCTCCACTTAGCTTAGCTCCATATTAGTTTTATGTATTGAGTATGGACCCCACTTGATGGGTCAACAAAATTATACCGGTAATTCTCCTGAAAATGATTATAAAGGAAGGAGATGGTCCGGGGTTTCGGTCATAAAAATATAATGTCTTTAATATTTTTATGACCGCAACCCCGGACCATCTCCTTCCTTTATAATGCAACGGTCAACTATTAAATATGGAAAATGATTATAGGTTGCTTCATTCATTTGTTGGGTGTTGTATCCTTTCCAACAGTGAGAATAAATGGTTCTTCTCTCTTGAATATTTTTTTTAATACCTTGTAATAAAGTTATTGCCTTTCTGTCGTTTATTTCGACGATAAATTGGAATTATCCTGGAGCTTTGAAAATATTCGATAGCCTCTTCTTCTAAAGACGGTAATTCCCAGAATGTAATAACACCCGTAATTTGACGAAAATCAAACAAATGGAACAAAAATAAACAGTGAAATAACTCACAGCCTACACGAGATAAGAAGGGAGGTTATGTGATGTAACATTAGATAACAAGGGAGGTTTCGTACCGACCTGCTGTCAGCCAAGTACCAGAGAAACTTACGTGTCTTGATTTTGTAGCGTTTATTTTAATTTTTCATTTATTAAGTCGAGAGATCAGCTGCAGATCACCTCATGCACGCTTGCACTATTTTCCACTGTAATCTTACTCAAGATTTCTTAGCCTATATATCCCTTCCTTATGTCACTTTATACCAAGTCCATTTGTGCAAGTCAGCTGCTGTTGGTATGAAAAAAACAAATGTGGGAAGTGTTGACAACCAGTCTAGATTTCATCTAAGGATTATACATGGGAAAAAAATTCATAATTAAATGGATCCTCGGAGCTGAATTCTCTATTTTTAATTAGACTTGATCATAGTCATATAAATAAGGTCTTCTTTCCCCAGGAAAAAGTTTCTTATTGTTTCAGTTTTCTCAGTCCTCCAAGTTAGTTGCTTGCCCTGATGAATTTCTAATAACTGTTATGTTCAACAAGGGCAATGGGATAGTTATTAATGAGTTCTGATCAACAGGGTGTATATGACATTGATTGAAGGTTGTTTTGCTTAACTTTAATTGAAGAGTTTGAGATTAAATAAATGTTATACTTGGGTTATTAGTATATAAAATAATTGAAAAATGCTATAATTTGTTCAATTTTTTGTTTCATTGAATGTTCTGTTTTTAATGGATTGTCTTATGTATCTGTTCTAGGACTCAGAATGGCTGAAATTGCCTTCAAGATAGCGGTTGCAAGATTAATATCAGATTATGTAATCTTACCCAATCCTAAATCGACTCTTCCTATCAAGTTCGATCCACGATCTCTGTTCATAACTTGTATGCCAGAGAATGGATTGTGGGTCAAGTTACAGAAACGATAGACTCATCAGTAGATGCGATGCATTGTTTTAGTCTTGAATGAGATAGTCAAACTACGGTAAAGATCTCTTAGAAAAAAAGGAACTGAGTTAGGTATTCACATATTCCAATCCATCCTTAAATTTGCATTTACTCGGTCAGTTTTTCAAAGGGCCATTACCATAATTGTGTTTCTTATGAAAGAAACTCCATGGCAAGATAAATAAATAGTAAATATAAACCCAGATTTTACACATTTCCAAAATACAAGAAACTCAAAAATACTAAGAGATTGAAAAGGGTTTTACTCGTTTCTGTATTCCCAGAGAGGTAAACATGACGGACTTTGAGAATCGAATTTGACTTAACATATTAGTTTCAAAAAGAAACAAAAGGAAGAAAAAGAAATTGAAAAAAGAAAGAAAAAGAATAAAAAAGAAACGTAAAAATTCGTCAAAGAAAATGGTAAAAGTGATAACACAAACTTCCTTTGATTTTTTTGAAAAACTGACAGCAGATGGATCAGTCACAAACAGAATGCCTCAAACATCTTGAGCCTTGAGAAATAACTCATTTACATATTCTGTTTCTGTAGTTTGCGATGTGTGTAAAAGCGGCTTAAGAATTAAAAATCATAGGTACTTCTACTTATTTTCCAATTCTTTTAAAATTATCGAAATGTTAAGTATTTATTGATTTTTAAGACTATCTGCCTATTACTTCCATATTTAGTTTATGGATCCTAGGCCTTAGTATTTTAGGCAGTGATAAATAAAATTTGATCAATCGGATCTTCCAGAACGGATTTAGTTGATAAAAAGAAAACAAAATTTAACTGTACTATTCTTGCCTGATAAAAGAAGACACGAATGCACTACATACTTCCAAGACTATCACTTTAAAGCAGTGATCAGTTGCTAAATATAATGAATGCTAAAAAATGACTACCATTAGATAGTAGCCAATTGATTTTGAGAGTGACCCTTCTTTCTGAAGTGATTTAAAAGTAATTAAAATCAAATGAAAGCAACCCTAAAACACCTGCATTGTTCAAAATGCCAATCTCATTTTATGGTTGTTAGTCCAATACAGATAATTTTTGTAAGGAAATAGGATGAATAAAAAATAAATTTATTTATTTATTTATTAAGAATATAAAATAAAGTAAACTTAAGTTAAGTAGCAATATAATATAATGTGTTTAGTATAACATACAAATATCTATATATTAGTAAATAAGTAAATATTAATAAAAAAATGTTAATTTGGGCCAAGGAGTATGATGTGTTATAAATTGTTTAAGATTCATAACGAAACTTGTTACTAAATTAGATGAGAATCCTTCGTTCAATCATATAAAAACAGAAATTTTAAAATTTCTAAAAAACACACAAATATTAAATTTGTAATTATTAGTTGATCACATTCGTAGGACTCCATATTTTTTTATTATTATTTTTTTGTTGAAAATTTCTGTTAATTTTTCCCTAGATAATATATATATATATATATAAAGAATAAGCAATAAGTGGATTATTTCTAGAATTTAAAAAGTAGTCAAGGAATAACAATATAAAAATATTAGGGTTAAAAAATTAAATGGTATACTTGAAATAGCATATAAATTTCTGGAGAACAATACAGTTCATTTACTAACACAGTATTTGCTATTATTTCTTTTTTCTTTTAATAATTACTTTTTGTTTTGCTAAAAAAAATTGAAAAATTGATCCTATATATATTGTCATAACATTGATTTTATCAGACCCATAGTTTTGTTTAAAAAATAATATACAAGTATGTTCCAGATGATATATTATCTGATTTCCTTCCAAGTATTTTTAGATACAATCAATATTTATTGGTTTGAAAAAGATGATTTTTGTCTCTTTTGCATCTTTACTTTGAGTCTCTGGAGAGGCCTGGATGCTATGATGACACTTCTTGGATCAAATTTCACAGGAAAGTCAGTATTAGGAGTTGGAAGAATTGTGTAATTGGAAATTATTTGAGCCAAAGCTATTATTAATGATACATAGGCCAGCCTTATACCTGCAACATCAATGTTATTAAATAGTAAATAAAAATAATGAAGAAGACTTATTTGGCAAACTATCGGGAAATGGTAATATCCTGATGATTCTTTTTAATTTACACACATTTTTTAAATTTTGATTTAGAGCTTCTTCTTTTAACATTTGAGAATGTCAGGGTTCTGGAGGATGTTTATCATGGGGAGGAGGGAAATAAAGTAATTCAATTTAACAATAAAATAGATAAAAACTAAAAACAATTGTATAAATAGTTTATTGATTATGTGTTTGTTTGGTACATTGAGTAGCCTATTAAATAAAATAACCATGTTTATTTATTTAAAACTCTACCTACCCTGCCTATTAAGCAATACTAGTGTTTCTCTTTTTGCATAGCTATGAATGCATGCAGTTATGAAAAGCATCTAAAGGGCAAGTATACCATTTGTATACATTTGTATTGGCCACACCATTTGTATTGGCAAGTATACCAAGTATACCATTTGAGGCACCAATCTTCAGCGGAGCTTGCCACTTGTTAAAAAAAATTTGGTGTAGTGCACGCATCACACAGATTTCGCTTACCACCCTCTTAATAGAAATAAGTATTTTCAGAAAAAGGGGTAAAAATTATAAAGAAAGTAAAAATTATAAACGCTATATTGATTTATATTTCATTGTGGGTATTTTTATTTGCATAAGCACCCTTACATATACCAATTTTAATATTTATATAGCTGTGATCTATAATTAAATGTCGGTTGGAGGGGGATTGGGGACACAAATATACTGCCCAAGGCCAATCAAGATCTTTGTATATATGATTCAAATTGCTCAATGTACCTCTTACACATGCACTAACATTGAAACTCCTTCGTAATATTGAAAAAGCATTCATAAAAAAAATTGATGTCAATTATGTGATTTGATTGATGCCAGTATAATAGATGCAACATTTATCTTTATACAAGATAAGTTTAATTTTGCCTTCTCTATTTCTTATAATAATATGATTGATTTTTATGAATTATAAATCTGATAGTTATCATTCCTTACCTATACATGTTCTTGGTCCTTTGCCAAAAGGCATAAAAAGTGGTGATGATTTTGCTGAATCTGAAAATCTTTCTGGTATGAATTCCTCAGGGGCTGGAAAATAATTGGGGTCCATGTGAACAGAATAACTAGGGAACACAACATCCATACCCTTAGGAATAGTAAATTTTTCATTAATTTTGTATGGGATAGTGCAAGTTCTTTTCAATATTCCTGCTCCTAATATTCCTCCTAGAGGAAACATCCTCAAAGTTTCTGCAAATTTATCAAACAATGGACAAAAAAAAATACAAAATTAATCATTTTCATTTCACTATCATATTTATTTTTAGTTCATGCAAATGGAACTAAAATTGGCAATTCAGTTAATTATTACCTTTGATAACATCTTCTAAATATTTCATCTTCATTACACTATCATATGAGACATAATCATTTCCGGATAAAACATTGTCTACTTCATTACGAAGTTTTTCTTGAACTTTAGGATGTCGACTCAACTGAAATATGATGTAAGTCAAAGCTGTTAAATTTGAGTTAATACCTGCAGCAAAGAAGGTGAAAATATGTCCCACAGATTCACGAAGTCCTATTCCTAAAAAAAATTGTCCAGTTATGTTTAATTTATATATACGACTATATATCTGGTTAAATGTATATATGTGTGTGTATGTGTGTGTGTGTGTGCGTGCGTGCGTGTGTGCGTGTGTGGGTGTGTGCGTGTGTGCGTGCATGCGTGCGTGCGTGTGTGTGTGTGTGTGTGTGCGTGTGGGTGTGTGCGTGTGTGGGTGTGTGCGCGTGCGCGCGTGTGTGTGTATTATACTACATGTATATATATATATATATATAATATTACAAAATATCTCTAATAGACCTTTTAGTATTCTATATTTTAATATAACTATTTTGATTGGGCATTAGGTTATTATTTATTAGTTATAATTTGATAATCTTCATGAATTTCGTTGTTTATTCCATTCGATCCCTGTTTTGATGTTAAACTAACAACATGGTAGATTTTGAAAGAGAGATCTTAAAAACATTTATCATTCAGTATTTTAAAATAAGAGCCTCGATACTTCTAGCCAGTGACACACCGACAGCCTCTGCACAGTGTACCAGAACAGGTATCAAGCTACTCTTAGGTAGCTTGATATCTGCTCTCCCCCTCTCCCCTCTCAGTGCCTAATTAAAATAATTATATATATATATATATATATATATATATATATATATATATATATATATATATATTAGTTCAAATGAAGCTTCAAGCATTTCGTAGATAAATGTTTTTAAGACCTCTCTTTCAAAATCTACCATGTTTTGTTACAAGTGGAACATATTCGGCCATCTTTTGTTTTGGAAATAGCGTCCTAGGTCTCAGAATAATTTAAAAAAAAATGTTATAATATTCCATTAACAAGAAAAAATGGACGGCTGGAATATTAGATTATTAAAGCTATTACTTTCTGATTCATCTACATAAAATAATAATAAAAGCGGAATACGCTCAAAACAATCCGGTTATTAAAGTTTGTGAAAGTACTTTTACAATTCGTTGAACAAAATTCTTGCAATTATTTTCATTCTCTCTAAAAAAAAAATCTTCAAGGTTTTCAAAAGGCAGTGTATAATGAAAATGAGTTTTTCTATTATCTGACCTAAGACTTGTGGAATAAAATAAATAATTTCTACTTACTGTCAGTCCCAAGAACTTCTTCCTTCTGCAATTGTGCCACAAGAGACACCAAATCGTCACGGCCAACATTCGCTCCGTTTCTTGACTCTATCAATTGTTTGGTGAATTTGGAAAAGAAGTCCCAGAGCTCCCGAGGGTACGTGCTTACTCCCAGAAACTTGAACAGACGAGGAGCTGCCGTAAAAAATGTGAACTTGAGTGTCGTGTTGGTCGGAGGGCGTTCAAATAACTCAGAGAGATGGGACAGCTTCGAGAATATTTCCTCGTCCTGAGAAGTATCGAGGCTGTACATGATAAAGCTCTGAGTTCTGACCACATGCCTTTTCGCAATCTGTTCAAATGGGATCTCTTCACAACGTTCCGAATAGGAATCTATCTCTCCTAACAAAGATGATCCGTAATGATTCAAGACTTCGGAGTATTCTTTCAACTTCTTTGGTGAAAAAAGTGTCGCCAAAATTTGTCGTTTCAACTTCCATAAGGTCCCTCTCATGTTAAATATAGAATGCATGATGGCGTCATTGTTTGAATTTCCACAATTTATAGGACGGTCCGTGAAGTGGTCGAAATCGACTTCGTTCAACGCCTTGATAAGTTGAGGATCCATTACGAGAAGCGTAGGTTTCCACAAATTGTAGTAGCCGATGTAAGGTTCATTTTTGAACTCTTGGTACCAATTGTCGATTAAGTGAAGCTCTGAGGTCTTGTGGTAATACAGGTCGCCCATGTTGCCCAGGACCAGGGTTGGCTTAGGACCGGGTATTCCATGGTTTCTCCAGTATCGGTGTTGCTTTATCAAATAAATTAATACTAGGACAACGATCAAACATATTGCACCCACAGCTGAAATAACAGTCAACATTTTCGACCTGTAAATTATAATTATTGTAAATTAATACTCTGTATCAAAACGAATAAGACAATATAATATATTAATTGCAATAGTAAAATTAATATAGGTGTTGTTTACATAGTATAAACGATCAACACCCGACAGCCTTCCTACATCTACAGTCTCCTACAGTTCAAATCCGTGGTCCACTCCCAGAAAACAAGATACCGTGTTTCCGACCTCTATATCTCTTCCCATAGAACTATGACATTTGAATATTCCTTTATTGCCCGATCCCACTGCCATCTGGAATTCCTTGCCATCCGATATCCGCCATGCCTCTTCCTTGTCCTCATTTAAATATCATCTCTACCAATTCCTTCTCACATCCCAAAATGACGTTACACAATGAAATAAATATTGCGAAACAGATTTTGACTGAGGTGAATGGTTGATAAAATTGATAGAGTTTGAATTTTAAAAATCAACCCATGCTTACATTATTTTTTTTTTCATTCAAATAATGTTTGTTTTTTCAAAATGGTGTTATTTTTACTTGTTTTAATATACATT